ATTCCGGTCCCCGAAGGTTAATGCGACGTTCACTTTACAGAACGTGCATCTCAGAATCGTAGTAACGAATTTACCTTATGACAGGGTATGGTTTTAATAGTAGCAAATAGGGTAAGGTGGAGTACACTTGTCAAATAAATTTAAATATCAATATGCAAGATCACTGTCAGTCGGTGTGGTAAAGTAATTCGCAATTATTGGAAAGTGCAAGGTGTTAAAAGCATAAAAGAATAGAGAGGTAGGTATACATCCGGTTATTCCGGGTTCTCAGGTCCTGGTCTTATTAGGCTAATGCGACGTTCACTTTACTGAACGTGCACCTCTGAGATGATTTGCGAATTTACCTTCTGACAGGATATAATATTCTAATGTGTACTGAGGAATTAGCGTTATTCACTTCGCTAATAGGTAGTAGGATACGGGATTACATACATATATAAGTGAGCAGTAATACAATAAAATACATATATAATATATTTATATTGCAAGTACAACAAGTTAAATAGACATGCGATATCGGTTAGATATAGTTAAATAGTATCGAGTAAAATATTGAATATATGGACGATTGTAACGCAGGCGTATGCAGATACGAATCGTAAATCGGAGTAATATATGGCTTATGTCTGTATTCAAATTCAGAGTTCGTAATGTGAAATAAGATTGAGTTCGAAATTCAGTGGTTAAATAATTAAATTCAGAGTTCGTAATGTGAAATAAGATTGAGTTCGAAATTCAGTGGTTAAATAATTAATTAAATATAATGATTAAATATAATGAGTGTCCGTCGCGCTTTACTATTTAGGGATATGTGAACTGGCTTAAATACTCACAAGGTTAGACAATGTCTTATGTGCCTTGATGTGGTACACTTCGCTACTGTGTTCTTCCCTCTGAGTTGAAGAGCTGAGGAGCCTCGGTACCTCGGTCCGAAATGGCGGCTATGTCTCGATGCCTTCAGAGCTCCGTAGTACTGCGGCGAGATCACTCTTGAGTGATAGATGGTGAGTTCACTTGACGACTTTCGGTGGATCACTCTTGAGTGATTGGTGGCGGATTCACTGCCGTTCCGTGCCGGGAGCCGGGTTTATATACCCAAAAATGGGGCTCGCTCCTCCCATCGGGCGATGCGGCTTAGCCAATGGCAAGAGAGGTATGCCGGGGAAGTACCGGAGACAATCTGTTCCTGGTAGAGATTGCGACGGTTAAGTCCCGGAGAGATGGCTTCTTAGTAGAGATAGCGGCGTTCCTAGGTGACTCATCGCCGGTCGCTCCGACTTTCCTTATCCTATTCTCGGTAGCGATAGCTGTATGCCTTTGTTGGCTATGCGCTCCGACTTATCTTATCTTCTTCTTGGTAATCGATTTGCAGGTGGCTGGTGACTCATCGCTATGCGGCTTGCAATGGGCCTTGCAGGTTGCAACGTGTTTTCAGCGTTGCATCATGCATTGCATCACGCTATTGTTCTAGAACCTTCTAGAATCTTCTGGATGTTTCTTTGCGAGTAAAGCCGAGTTCACATAGTAAAGCGGCTTTCATACATAATTATTTAATTATTTAGTATACTTCTTTATAAGCGATATATATATATAAATATTTCAGGTATAAGAATTTTGTGTGTTAATATATATATATATATATATAGTATACATATTTAAAATTTAATACTATTGAATAATATATATATTTAATATTAGTAAAATGAATATTATGTCTTATACTGTCGTTGAAATCGCCGGAGAATACCATATGTCTTATGCAGTCATTGAGATCGCCAGAGAATACTACATGTCTTATACAGTCATTGAAATCGCCAGAGAATATATATAGTGTCGTCAAAGTATACGATTGATATATATATATATATATATATATATATATATATATACGTTCTTAACCTTATTTTAAGTTTTCTCACAAATAATCAATGAGGATTTTTCTTATTAAACTAAATATATTATATTATATTATACCATATTTAGTTAGTATTATAGATGTTGTTTTTACATTGTTTTTGTGAGAAGACATGTCTTAGCCTACGAGTGGTTATATTTGTGATTAAATATTCGTTAATACCGGTCTTTCATGCAAGCTAGAGATTGTCATGACTAATAGGTAAAAAAAATTAATGATTGAAAAATTGAAATTTTGGAATTTGTCTGGACGTTACATCTCCCCTCCTATTTGAGAATAAAACCCGACGTTGATCTAGGGTTTTGTTCTAGATTAAAGAGATGTTGTTGCAAGTCGTTATACGTTTGAGGGACGGTGATATTTGTGGATTCCATTTCTTCAGGTCGTCTCATATTATAACCTTGAAGTTGAGGCTGACTTATCACCGGTGGTTCTTTGGTAATGCAGGGGGTACGTCTGAGATGATGGCAAGAGATGTGGCATCTTCTGGAAACTTATTTTTTCTTTTTCTCCGTTTATATTCTTGCGGCTGAGGTGAAGCAGGAGATTAGTTAGAGAGTCCCATAGTGCTCCTATCAGGTGTAGACTACATCCATATACGGTGTGTAACGCGTATCCATGAATGATGGTATCGATTGCCAATTTAGCAATACGAACGATCATAAATATTCCAACGACTCCGGCCGTGGCTGATCCAAAGCTCATGAATCCTCTCCATATTTTCGCAGCGGTGTTGTCTACGATTTTATTGAGTGATTCTTCGTCTAGTAGTTTGTATAGCGAGACGGAGTTGGCGTTAACTGGATGTCCGGTGAGTCCACGTGCAATGGCGTTGAGTAGTGCCGGTTTCTCTGCGGGAAACATGATGTGGTCTCTTAATTTTTCTATGTCTTGCTGGGTGTAGATTCCACTGACAGCTAATGGTCCGGGTGTTAAATAACTCCAGGTAAGTGATGCCATGGGTCGTAGTTGTTGAGGTGACAACTGTCTTATTTGCGCTTTTGGTGTGAACTGTACCCAAGTGTCCTCTATCCGGTATAACGTTGGTAATTCTTGAGAACATTCTCGCTCGTTTCCGATCTTTGTGACGATTCTTGATTTGGGTGTGAGGAAGTAAGAAGAGTTTCTAACGGTTACGGGTAACTCGTTATAGCATTCTTTGGTTGGACGTACGGTGACTTCTACAGGGATGCATTTTATGATCTGGACAGCTTCTCCAGTGGTGACGGCCATGTATCCCGGTGACTTCATAAGACTGTACGCGAATTCATCAGGCAAGAGAGTTGCAAAAGATAAGGCATTAGTTATGACTTGTCTTTCCAATTCACATTTTTGTTGCATGACATTATGATATAATGATGTCATCTGATGTCGTATGTGTTTTTCGACATATACAAATTTAGAATTCATGTAAGTAAATATATCGAGGTTGTCCACGGGAATCGTACCTTTATTGGCAAAGGTTTGGCCTTGCTTGGTTTCCAGGATAAATAACTTCGGATGTTCCGTGCGAAGCAGAGTGTATCCGCATAATGGTTGTTCTTTAGTCTTGGTCAAAGCGAATGTGATGTCTTGTGTAGTGAGACTGTAGATGATGGGGGAATCGTCGCCTGCTATCCTGGTCGCTAGTCCTTCGTATAAAACATCGTATTGGTTAAAGTTGCAGGATTTCATTGGTACGGGTTTCCAAAAGGTGTAGCCATCATCGGAGTCTAAACAGAAGCTATCGGCCAGTGTACAGATGGTTCCTGATCTTAGCTTGATTTTTCCATGTTCGAGTTGTACTGGCACATAAGATGATTTCAGTGAGATTTTCGCAACTGCTTGAACAATTACGTTATCCCATGTGCCGTAAGGGTCAGAGTATTGCGTACCCTTACATGTTCCGTCGGCTTTCAATTCACCGGCTAACGTAAGGCTACGATAAGAAGTTTGATTGATTTTGAGTCCGCTAATTAAGTGAGCAGGTCCCAAGGACGTTGTGCCATCTTGAAACATTCGCAAACATTGTGAATATCCGGTTTCCTGGACGTAATCTGCTTTTCCATTAAAGACGACTGAGATGTGCGAGTGCATGCCACAGTGATATATCGTGCGAGATATTTCCAGTTTGCATTGTATAACCTCTGCATAATTATATTCGGAAAGTTGTAATAATTGTATATAGGTCTCCGTGGAGTTTGGAGTTTGATGATGGAGATTGCATTCTCCAACATCTAAGAGAGAGACGGCGGTGATGTTAAGATGCTGTCCACCACAATCGAATCCAATCAGGGCGAATGAAGTTTTAACGGAGAGTATTAGAATAATCCCTAACATCATGACAAGCTGTAACGCACAATCGGACTAGTTTTACTGAATTAAATACAATATAAAGAAATTATCTAGCATGTACGTGCGCACGAATATACGCACGTATCTATAGATATATACATGTGCACGTGCGGAGGTAGTCCTGGCATTGGGCGCAATGAACGGTGTGCGAGGAAACTTTTAATAATTAAATAATAATATGCATGATTTATATTGTCGTCCGTTTTCGGACTCGCACATGGACATATATATATGCGTGTATAATAGTAAGTACAAATGCATGTTAATGCGCAAGCGTATATGTTATAAATTATATTTCGTCTTATATCTATGTGTATCGGTTGCGCGGTTGCAGTTTTTGTTCTGCCCGTGTCTTTTGTAAGATTCAGAGAATTTATTCGAAATTTGCTATTTGATAGAATATGATTAGCTCGTTCACTGGTGGGGCCGGAGTCGATTTCTCCGAACCGGCAAGTATAAGCGTATATATTTTTCATAATTTTAAATTTATTAAGGTTTTTCGCAAGCTATTCATAGTGGTTAAATACGAGTTATTACCAGTGAGCGAGTTAATGGCAGAGTGTAATAATATAATACGCATTGTATTAATTATCATATTGCATGGATATGAGTCTCATGCAATTTCGTGAGCCTTGTATGAGATGTACTTGAGTAAAGCATACCTCATACAAAGATGAAAAATAATGGCTAAAAGTAGTAAGAATAAAGTTTTGAATAATGCACAGGGTTCCATGCTGAACAACCTGTTTAGTTAGGACGGTTTCCTGAAATGGGAATCTTACATGTGTAGTATTATCGAAATATACCTGTAGATTTTTGTGCTGAGATTTTGATAATCTTTACTGGCGTCTAGGCTAAAGAGAACCTGTAATTAGGAATACATATGTTATTATACATGAATAATCTGAGAGATATAAGACGTGGTCGTCCTTACATCTAGTGAATTAATATAATTAGTAATATATAGTTTTATAGAGTAGGCTGGAAATGATTAATGGTAGGCACGATTCCATCCCAGTGTCTGATGGTATCATTGCGTTTCCATACGTTTACTACATATTGTATATAGGTAAAGAAACATTCTTCACAGTGAGTTATAGGTTCAATTTTATAACAGGCATAGCGACAGTTGAGACATGGAATAGGAGGTGCGGTTTCGCAGACAAGAACGTGATAATTGTAAATGTCTTTAGGTGCAGTTCGAGTTCTTCGCGTGATGCGACAAACTTGGCAATAGTTGTCGTAAATTGTACTTCTATAGCATCTAGCTCTATGTATATTGGGAAAGAATTCTAGCATTTTCTTTATTAGAGGAAATCTCGGTAACAGAGTGTGGAGTTCGACGATATTAGGATGTTCGTAATACGTATTAGAGGCTGTTGCGTTGTGATCGCAAGGATTATTAGAAGACATTTTTTTTTTTTAATATTGTTGGAACGTCTTAAACAGCTAGAGGTGATTCGAGGGTGATTCCCGATCTATAGACGTTAGATAATTAGTGCAAATTGTGCAATTTTGTATTGGTTTGGAAATTGTTAGGAGTTGGGAACATACAGAACACTGTGGTTCGGGATAACCTAATCCAATCACGACAGCGTGAGTATATCGTGTTTGGTAAAAGGAGCGTGCAGCTAGATCAAGACTGGAATAACAATTTCTACAACGTGCAGAATTAGTGACTACGTTACGATATCCGTGTACCTTTACGCAGCGTGCGAAAGCAAATATGTGGTGTAGTGAAGAACTCGTGGTTTGTCCTGGATGGACTGGTTGGCGATGCCAACACATCTGAAACCCAAAATTAGGAATGTTGATTTTTCAACCTGGTTCTATATGTGCTAATTTTAACTTATCGATATGGACGATCCGCGGTTTGTGGTTGATTAAGATTTTGGCGTTATTGGAAGGTAGGATCTCTGTTATCTCATAGGGTCCTACGTAATGTGCTGAGAATTTTCTTTGGTTCTTTTAATAAGAATACATAATCTCTTGTTTTAAATTGCCGAGGATTTACACGTTGATCGTAATAGTATTTGCTTCTCTCTTTAGCTCTAATAGATTTTGTCGCGCTTCTTCGCGAATATCGTATAATTTATTGAATAGTGTGTTTATATATTCTTGGTAAGTAGGCTCTAGAGGTTCTTCAATAGGTTGTAACGGGGCTCCTTTCCCGACGCCACGGATCGGCTCGTCGGTGCCAGGATTCGGGAAGAGGGGGGAGACTCAGGTTCGCAATAACCACGCCAATCGTTCTGGTAAAAACAGAGTTTATTGAAGCCGCCCTGCAAGAGTTGGCTTATTATCTAGTCTACGCGTACAGAGGAGAATCGCAGGAAGTGCGGACCGCGACCAACTTATACGGACGCGGACACGATTTATAACTAAGGAATACAAGGAATGCAACGGACGAAGCGTGACCAAGTCATACGGACATGGACACGCCTTGGAACTAAGGTTTACAAATGATAACGCGACGGACGAAACGCGACCAAATCATACGGACGCGGACACGTCTTATAACTAAGGTTTACAAATGATAACGCGACGGACGAAACGCGACCAAATCATACGGACGCGGGCACGACTTATAACTAAAGGTTTACAAATAATAACGCGACGGACGAAACGCGACCAAATCATACGGACGCGGACACGTCTTATAACTAAGGTTTACAAATGATAACGCGACGGACGAAACGCGACCAAATCATACGGACGCGGGCACGACTTATAACTAAAGGTTTACAAATAATAACGCGACGGACGAAACGCGACCAAATCATACGGACGCGGACACGACTTATAACTAAGATAGTAGCGTGGCGGACGAAATTTACCCAACGCGGCGTGGATACGAGCGCCCTAAAAAGGGCGAGCTCCGTAAACCGCCTTGGATTCGGGCGCCCTGAGAAGGGCGAGCTCCGCAAGATGTCGGTGGCTCTCGGAGGATCCGGTGACCGAGGAAACTCGGCCTTCCCGACGAGAACGCTCGTCGGCCGGGGTGATGTTTGGAGTGGATCCGGTGCCCGAGGACGCTCGGCCTGCCCGACGAGAACGCTCGTCGACCGGGGCGATGTTCGGAGAGGATCCGGAGACCGAGAATGCTCGGCCTGCCCGACGAGAACGCTCGTCGACCGGGGTGTTGTTCGGAGAGGATCCGGTGACCGAGGACGCTCGGCCTGCCCGACGAGAACGCTCGTCGACCGGGGTGCTGTTCGGAGAGGATCCGGTGACCGAGGACGCTCGGCCTGCCCGACGAGAACGCTCGTCGGCCGGGGTGATGTTCGGAGAGGATCCGGAGACCGAGAATGCTCGGCCTGCCCGACGAGAACGCTCGTCGACCGGGGTGCTGTTCGGAGAGGATCCGGTGACCGAGGACGCTCGGCCTACCCGACGAGAACGCTCGTCGGCCGGGGTGATGTTCGGAGAGGATCCGGTGACCGAGGACGCTCGGCCTGCCCGACGAGAACGCTCGTCGACCGGGGTGATGTTCGGAGAGGATCCGGAGACCGAGAATGCTCGGCCTGCCCGACGAGAACGCTCGTCGACCGGGGTGCTGTTCGGAGAGGATCCGGTGACCGAGGACGCTCGGCCTACCCGACGAGAACGCTCGTCGGCCGGGGTGATGTTCGGAGGTGAGGAGTGGTCCTTGAGTACGCTCAAGAGACCAGGACGGGACTGGTGTCGAAGTCTCGGCTGCGCCGCTTTATATACCCGTCGGTCAGCCCCCTCCAACTAACTTGGAGTGGGGCGGTCCGGTCGGGTGGGGCGAAAAGGCAAATTCCCACGTGTTCGATGTGTGGTGGCCCCGACAGGGGCCGTTTATATGAGCGCGGGCGGACGGTCGGCCTCGTGCTTGCGCGGCTTCTAGTGACGACAAAACGGGTCGTCACATCACCCTCCCTTTTTACGGGGGGTGAGGTAGTCGGCGGATCATCCGTGGCTGACCACGCCGATTGAATCGGATGATCCAGCGGCCGTCCGGGGTGCGCACTTTATATCGCCGCGAGATGGTGGCGGCGTAAAACGGAACGTCGACCGTTCGTCCGTTCCCCAGGGTAACCTGCACGGGGTGCGGTTGGCCCACCGCTGTAGGGGGCGCCGGTCGTTGCGCGATGGTCGGCGGCACGGCGGTGGAGGGTGCCGGTGGACGCGTGGTCGATCGGCACACGGCGTCTGATTGATGTGTCGGTCGTGATGGTGGTCGGGCTGGGCGACGTGCGTCGGTCGGTGTCGTTGTAGGCTTGGTGGCGGCGGCGACGGTGATGACGGCGGAGGCTGGCGAGTCCGAGAGGACCCGTGGTCGTCGACGGTGGCTCGGGGGTGGCGGAGGTGCTGCGAGAAACGCCATTTTCCGGCTCCGTTGTTCCACGTCGGACCGTTGGATGTAGGTCCCCACCCGAGGCACCGGCCGGTTGGTTCGTCCGGAGACGGACGGGTTGTTTCGTCCGGAAACGGACGGATTGTTTCGTCCGGAAACGGACGGTTGGTCTCCTTGAGACTGGTCAGCTTTTGGGCTTCCCATCGTGGCGAGGATAGACTCGGGGCTGAGAGCGCCCGTCTTTTATACCTCTCCGGAGTATAGCGCGGACCGTGGAGAGTGCCGCTCTCGGTGTTCGGCCGGACAGCCACACGAAAAAAAAGCGCGGACCATGAAGAGTGCCGCTCTCGGGGCTCGGTCGGGAAATCACGAACGTGTAGCGAAAAAGCGCGGACCCTGACGAGTGCCGCTCTCGGTGCTCGGTCGGGAGCTCGCGAACGTGTAGCGAAAAAGCGCGGACCCTGACGAGTGCCGCTCTCGGTGTTCGGCCGGACAGCCACGCGAAAAGAAAGCGCGGACCATGAAGAGTGCCGCTCTCGGTGCTCGGTCGGGAAATCGCGAACGGGTAGCGGAAGAGCGCGGGCCATGAGGAGTGCCCTCCTACGGTTCGTCCGCGGGCGGCGGTTCTGAGGCTGGCTTCAAATCTCGGACGTGGACATGTCGGTGCCACCGACCTCGGTCGTCCTTCAGGTCCATGATGACGGGGGAGATGATGCGGCCAACCGTCATCGGGCCACCAAATCTTGGTGCCAGCTTGGCATTAAAGCCCCGCTCTTTGTTCGATAGCGGGTGTTCCTTCTTCCACACCCGGTCCCCAATTTTTGGACGCCAGTCACGCCTGCGCAAGTCGTAATTTCGCTGCTGGTGTTGGAACGCGCGAGCCAGGTTGATCCTGACGATTTCGTAGGCGTCTTCGAGGCGGCGTCGGACTGCTCCGGGGGCGGCGTTGGCGGTTACCGGACGTCGGTCGTCAGGGTACGGCGACTGTAGCTCCCGGCCGTATATCAGGAAGGCCGGGGTATATCCCGTGGATTCTTGCCGCGCGGTATTGAAAGCAAACTGGAGCTGGGGGATGTGCTCATCCCAGCGGCGGTGCCGGCCCTCCACGTATTGCGCCACCATAGTTTTTATGGTGCGGTTGGCTCTCTCGACCGGGTTGCACTGTGGGGCGTAGGCGGGAGCGGTCTGGTGTTTGATCCCGAAGGATCTTAACAACCCTTCGAGCTGGTGCGATCGCAACTGAGTCCCGTTATCAGAGATGATGGTGTCCGGGCAACCATGGCGATATATTATGCGCCCGGCGACTTCTCGTGTGACGTTGGCGGCGGTGGCCTGGCGGAGGGGTGTCATCTCCACCCACTTTGAGAACCGATCCTGCATGGTTAGCAGCCAGGTATGCCCACTGGTCGACCGTGGCAATGGTCCGACCAGGTCAATCGAGACTTGTTGCCACGGATGCGTGACATTGGTGGCCCGAAGTTTCCCGGCTGGCCGGGTTTGTGCGGCTTTATGGGTGGCGCAGTTCCGGCAGTCACGGACGTATCGAGTGACGTCGCGGAACATTCCTGGCCAATAATATAAGCGGGCCACCCGTGCGATGGTCTTTGTGATTCCGAAGTGTCCGGCGGTCGGGTCGTCATGTAGCCGGCGTAGTATTTCCGCGCGTTGGGGCCTCGGGACGCATTGCTTCCATTGCTCCTCACTGGGCGAGTCGTGAAAGTTGAGATCGTGCAGCAGGTGCCGAAATAGCCGGCGGTTCTGTATCCGGTAGTCCGCATGGTCGGCCGGGTGTTGTTGCACCTCGCGATACATGCGACGGTACCATCGACAATCTGGGGCGGTCTGGAGGACACAGGCCTCGGGTTGACGGGAGAGAGCGTCGGCTACGATGTTCAGTTTTCCTTTTCTATATTGAATCTCGTAATCGTACTGCTGGAGCTCGAACACCCATCTCCCTAGGCGGCCGGTGGGAGCCTCCAAACGTTGCAACCATCGGAGTGACTGGTGATCGGTGACGACCGTGAAGTGATAGCCCTCTAGATAGTCGCGCATTCGGCGAATTCCCCAAACCACCGCCAGGCACTCCAATTCTGTAGCGCTGTAGTTTCTTTCGGCGTTATTTAGGGTGCGACTGGCGTAGGCAATGACGCGTTCGCCTTCGGGCAGTTCTTGGGTGAGTACAGCCCCGAGCCCACAAGCGCTGGCGTCGGTCTGGAGGGTAAACGGTCGGCTGAAGTCGGGACAGGCCAGAACCGGCGCGGTGGTGAGTGCCCGTTTCAGCTCGTCGAACGCCTTCTCTTCCTCCGGTCCCCAAGTAAAGCGTGCCCTTTTATGGGTCAGGCGTGTCAATGGTGCGGCGGTGGCGGAAAAGTCTGGTACAAAGCGACGGTACCAGGAGGCGACTCCAAGGAATTGGCGCACTTGACGGACAGTGGTAGGTGCTGTCCAGGCGGCCACTGCACTGACCTTATCTGGGTCAGTTCGAATGCCGTCTTTGTCCACTATATGCCCCAAGTATTTGAGGCGACTGCAACAGAAGTGGCACTTCTGTGGGTTGAGGCGGAGGCGCGCTTGTCGTAGCCGTCTGAAGACTTCGGCCAGGTGTTCCATATGAGCCTCTAATGAAGGACTGACCACGATGATGTCGTCGAGATAGACCAATACATTGGGCTCCAATTCTGGGCCGAGGACGCTGTCCAGCAACCGCTGGAACGTGGCCGGTGCTGAGTGCAACCCAAAGGGCATGACTCTAAATTGATAGAGTCCTCGCCCGGGAATCGTAAAGGCGGTGGCGGGGCGGCTGGCCGAGTCTAGTGGCACCTGCCAATATCCGTCTTTCAAGTCCAATGTAGATAGATACTGGGCCCCACGGAGCTTGTCGAGCGTAGCGAGGATGTGCGGCAGTGGGTAGGCGTCCTTATCAGAAGCTTGGTTCAGTTTGCGGTAATCCACGCAGAACCGGTGGCCCCCATCTTTCTTTTTTACGAGGACCACGGGGGAACTCCAGGCACTGCCGGAGGGCTCGATCACCCCGGCGTCTAGCATCTTGTTAACCTCGCTATCGATGACGGCCTGCATGGCTGGATTACGCGGTCGGTACCGCTGTTTTATCGGGGCCCCGGGTCGTAGTCTGATCCGGTGTTCGGCGCGGTCGGTGGGTCCCCGCACGGATTCGAATAACCGAAGCTCGGTGTCCAGAAACTGCCGGAAGCGCTGGTCCTCTTCGGGCGAACGTGGAGAGATCCCGGCTGATAATCGGCCGTGGATAGTTGCCAAATAGATTGGGGCCGTCTCTTTCGGCCGATCGGGTGGCGGAGGCGGCAGGGTGAGGCGTAATCGAGCCCACAGGTCGACCCCGATGAGGACCTCGCTGCTAAGGTTATCCAAGACCTGGAAACGGTGGCGGACAGAGCGAGGGCCGATCCGGAGGGCGAGTCGGACTGAGCCGGAGGTGGATGCCCTGGAGCCGTCGGCCAGGTTGACCGGTTCTTCGGATGGCCGGATCTGGAGGCCGTGTTCGGACAGGCGGTCGGCCATGGTGGCGTTTATAAAGGACACCTCCGATCCGGAGTCGAGAAGCGCCCAGGCGGTGAGTCGGCGGATCCGGACTAATAGGTGCGGCCGTGGCGTGTACTCTAACTGGACGCGGGTCGGGCGGTGGCCTCCTCGGTTCCGACCCGCTGACCGTTTCCCGCCGGAGGATGGCAGTCCCGTGTTAGAACGCCATCCTTCCCGCACTGTGAACAGAACTTTCGTGCTGGGCGGCGGCAATCGAGTCGGGTGTGTCCTCGCTGCTTGCACCGCCAGCAGCAGTTCGAGCGGTCATATGTGGCTGCAGCGAGGTTTGCCTCGGTAGATCTGGAGACCTCGCGACGTTGTTCTTGACGGCGCCGGTGGATCTCCTCCCACTCAGCGGCGCGGCTACATAGTTCGGAGACGGTGTGCAGTTCGTCTAACCGAATGTATAGCTGGAGCTCTGGGTCAGCGTTTTCGTACAGCTGTTCGAGCTGGTCCCTGCGGGTGTAACCGCCGGCCCGACGCATCATGGTTTGCACGGCGGTGGCGTATCGAGTAAAAGCCTCCCCTGGCTTTTGTCGCCGGCCTTGTATTTCTCGCCGCAATTGTCGCTTATACCCGGGCGACAGGTATTGGGCGAGGAAATCTTTTCGGAATTCGGTCCAGGTGGACCACTGTTCTCTGGTGTTCCTCCACCACAGGAGGGCCTCGCCTTTTAGCAGCTCGGCTAGCCCGATTAAGAGATGGTGGTCTTCCAGACCATAGGCCACACTGAGTTCCTCTAGATGCTCGAGGAACGCGAGGGGGTCTTTACCCTCGAAATGGCAGCCCCACTTGCGTATCTGGTTAAGGGCCTTCGCCGGGTCGGCTTCGGGTGGTTCGGGGGTTCCTCGTGCACTCCGATAACGGTCTTCGCGGCTGGGTACTTGGAGTGTTACGGACGCTCCGGTGTCGGCGTGGGTAGCCATCACGTGGTTTCTGATGCGGCGGCGGAGGTCGACTAATCTCCCTTCCGGGTCGAGGTCGCGGTCGGCGAGATAACGGGCGGCTTTCTCTTTGTCTAGGTGGTAAATCCACCCGAGCATATGGATTGCGAACCGGAGTCTCAGACGGTCGAGTCAGGTCCCTGTTCGGGCGCCATGTAACGGGGCTCCTTTCCCGACGCCACGGATCGGCTCGTCGGTGCCAGGATTCGGGAAGAGGGGGGAGACTCAGGTTCGCAATAACCACGCCAATCGTTCTGGTAAAAACAGAGTTTATTGAAGCCGCCCTGCAAGAGTTGGCTTATTATCTAGTCTACGCGTACAGAGGAGAATCGCAGGAAGTGCGGACCGCGACCAACTTATACGGACGCGGACACGATTTATAACTAAGGAATACAAGGAATGCAACGGACGAAGCGTGACCAAGTCATACGGACATGGACACGCCTTGGAACTAAGGTTTACAAATGATAACGCGACGGACGAAACGCGACCAAATCATACGGACGCGGACACGTCTTATAACTAAGG